GTTGGCATGGCAGAGAGAAGTACATGCTTTAAAAGCGACATCTTCAATTCCACTATAGTGTGTCAATCACCGGTAACGACACAAAACGTAATTATGGTCTTCGCGTTCAAAAAAGTTACGAATATGTGAAAATATTTAGCGATCCTCTTTGCTCTTTATGGGCAAATATAAGCAGATGTTGTACATGATGGCTGACGCCGATCGAAGAAAGGAAATCAACAAGGTGATTCCACAAAACCCAAAATTAACGGAACAGCGGTATAACATTGGGTACGCAATAGTTACCCTTATCGCAAATAATAAAATAATGCGAAAGAAATAAATTTCGGATCTGCGATCACTCTTAAGTGAATTTACTAAGCCAAATTATTATTGCTAGAATATCGCCAAGAGGCGTGCAGGCTTTAAGTACTGACTTACTTGCCGCTCCGGTCAAATACTCAGTAAAGACTTGACCGAAGTGATAAAATTCCATTGGTAGAACAGCAAAAAACCTGCGCATTGTCCATTCCACTTGTACTGTTAGTTTACCTTCTTTGATTTGTTTGCGTGCTTAAAAATGACTACATATTTATATACACAACTACCATAAACCATTTGTGTAAGTAAGGGAAGTTGTTTACCCTGTAACGTACACATCGTTTACTCCTCCACGGTATGACCTCATCGCTATGGAAAACACAAGCGAATTGAGGAATTAACTTTTACCCAAAACGGTAGACTTTAATACAGGCCGCTGGACTGTCTAGATAGCTAAACCACCTTTACTCCAGCAGTAACAACAGCCACCGATTACTGACTCTCCTTACGCACGCTTAGGGCAGCGAAAACTTCAATAGCTTTCGAAAGTAGCTGCTTGTATATAAGGTGAACGCGAGATAAAGTTCGTTCAAGCCTCGACAATAATATATACTATGCGAGAGGTGTGTAATTAAATGCCCGCGAAATATAGTAGGCGGTAGCCCCAAGGGCTTCAAACCGGTAACTTTTTGGTTCTAATATGGCTGGACACATGCAAGTCAATGCAGTCTTGTGATGAGAATTTTTTAATAGAGAATAGTAAGTTACTTTATTAACTTACGATTATACTCATAGTGAATAAAAAAGGCATAAATAAGAAATAGCGGAAGGCATTTAAGGTCAACACAAAAAGGTCCTGAGTCGTAATAGGCTCGATTAAAAGTTACTTTGGAAACTACTGACTATTAGATGAAAACTTCATCAATCTAATGACATTCCGACTAATTAACAGGCGTTTGTAGCCAATATATGGTGGCGGATCAAAACGTATTCGTCCTCCGTTTCGTTACCAGGGTAGTATAAACGAAGCAGGAACAGCCATGTAATAATTAGGACCAGAATTGAGATAACAATAGATCTGGGGTACCTAGAAGCCCGAAGATTCATTAAACCCCAAGCGGCGCAACCGACTGAGACCATAGGTTTCAGCATGTGCGCGACCAATAAGTTGGCCCATTGTCATCCACTTACAGATAGCGTGCAACGGTTCGTGTCCTTATGTTGCGGAAAATCGAAATTTATTTCGCTGACCAAAAGATACTAGAAAAGCAACGCAGGCCGGTCGTTAGCACGGCAAAAAAGCCGCCAAAAGTGTCCTGCTGAGTGGTGGGGGTACAGGAACCAAAAAGATGGACCCAGCCCAGGTTTCTCGATTTGGAGGTGCATATAGTTTCGTGGAACAGTTTGATGTCTCTCGAAGGGGTCTGAAGCGACGTAGGATACGGGGGAGCTATGCTAAGCGAAGTTTGTGCGCCAGAGGGGACAGGTCTGCTTACTTTTGCAATAAGGTAAAAAAGCGTTCGTACACAATCATGACATATGGGCGCGTTTCCAACAAGATCCTGTGACAGACGCATGACGTAGATAGCCATGCAAATTTCTCTTAGTCAATGAGCTATCGCAGACCTGCCAGTCAGAGCATTTGCACTTCGTAGCCAGTGCGTTCTCACGGACCTGGCCAATCAGCTGGTATTGGAGTAATGTAACCGCCGATGAAATTCCAGATTTAATTAGACGCAAGATTAGATTATATGCTAGGACGTTACGGAAAATTGGAGTGGAAATGGCATCTATTCGTAAAAAGAACATTGCAAATACCGTACGTTGAAGACTTCTGATCAAAGTTTGGTGGTTCGATTATTAATACGCGTACGCTACTACGATTGAGCACTAGTTTTCTGACGAATAAGTGACAGCTAGAGTATGACGGGAAGCGTCAAACGTAATTATTTATGCGTACTTATTACCAAATTGAGCATGTGTTTTGTGTCTCGTAATTTATAGTTAAGGCCTAATCCGAGACGTACGCCCGATCGAGATCCAATACTGAATTGTTAAAAAATGAATATGGTTGCAATATTATTATTAGTCGAAAGCAGAAAAGCTATAAACGATGTAGCTTCGCGAAAATTGTCACCGCTTCTATAGATCAATATATTCCTTATTGTCCCAAGCTAAGTGTTCTCTTTTTCTCTTCTTTGGATATTATAACCTTCGGACCTCTATTAGCGAACCTACATTTGTACATTTTAGTAAAAGTCTACTTTATTTTATGACATATTTACTGTAGACACATATTGGCATCTGTAAGTTCACATATGATCTATATTTTTAGTAAGCACAGTACAATACGATATAGTTCTTGAATCGTCAGCGCCTCTTTTTGCCGATTGTCACGGATGTCATCTGGAGAGGACGAAAGTCCATTCAGTCGAAGAGGAGAGTCAATATCCTTTGAAAGTTTCGTTCTAACGATGCTCTGCTTCACGGCGACTATCACACGCACGCCGTACATGTGTAGAACTGCTTACAGGGTCTCCTACATTTCTTAGAAGATCTAAGCAAATATCCAAATTACGCCGCCGACTATAAGCTTCATACATGGAGCAGGTACACTAGCCACTACTTAAACTTGAAGCGCAAACACCGTCAGCATCCTGCCTATAGTCAGCAACGTAGCTGATATCCAGCTGCAATACAATTAGATGTACTTCTTTGCGTACTGAATTTGAAAGGGAGCTGATGCTAGTAGACTTCGAATACATATCGAAATGATACAGGAAGTCTATCATAGCTTCGTGACGTTTCTACATGTGCTGAATTCGGCACTGTGTCGTCACGCTAAGCGTTTGGAGGTAAGGTAGTGACAGTTTTAGAGAGCGCATGTTTTCGCGGCTCTGTTTTTGATGGAGAACAGACCAAGTAGCAAAAAAAAAACGCTCCTCAACATGACAGCGCGTAAGGGAACACACCTTGTAGAGGTACATCCAATACATTTGTATAAATATCTTGTCTTAATATTTCAGTTTGCAATCATAATGCCTATAGAGAAACATATTCGTTACGACTTCCGGTTGATGAGCTCGCTGGATATGTACACAATAAGGGAAACAATTCTTTTTCAACAAATATCGCTCAAGAGGTGTCGTACCTCCAAAAAGAGGTATTTCGATGATCCTATAGCTATGATCGTTTCTTCTTTGTGGTTTTTGAAACAGTTAGTTCCGTAGCCTGTGTTGAGGCCACTCCTGGACGCACTATGATGGCTTGGTAATCGTTAGTTCGGCGGGATTCAACACCGATGCGCTATAGAGATACCTAAGCGAGTACGGCTATCGTAGGTCTATAACATCGCATAAAATTATGGTGTTGATTGGTATTAGCACGCTAGTTGATTACATCATTCATCAGTTGAGAGCATTCGATTGAAATTTAGAGGGGAATCATTATTGAAGATCCATACCATTAATTCCAAAACATCAGGTAAACGCGTGATTGTGAACGATTATTGAAATGCGCTATATCGAGACGCATGTTTGCATCCTTCTTGAATGAGACTTCAGGAGTTTTCTATCCTTATTAGACCTGGCTGTCGAATAGCTTGTGATAACGAAGTACGTTCTATATATCTCACGTACCGCGATCAATTGGGGCCTTTGTTCGATAGCGTCCCTTGACGATGTTGGGCCAGAAAGGTTGCTTTAGTGATGTCAGATTTGAGAACTACAAAAAATAGGTTTGTTATGCAGTCTGATCAATACGACGTATGCAGCTTCCGCATTACTGGCATGACGTAGTCGTAGAAATGGGAACGAACTCTGGGTCGGTGGTCTACGATACTGGATGATGGGAAATGACTGCATTTTGAACTGCATTTGAAAAAAAACATAATCTGTGTCAAGGACATTTACACACCAACACTGTTCGAGGACGTATGAAGGGCATTCAGTGTTTGGCAATAACACCCATAAAACTCTTAGCCCCTATAAAAGCTAGAAAATGCCCTTTGTTGGGTTCTGTAAAATTGTTTCTTTATTTTTTATTTTTACACAGATATATAGGAGGATATACACTTGAACATAGTTCTACTTTAAAGGTTTGAACTTTTGTTCAAACAGAGCTTTGTTTAAACATGGGTAGAGTACATAATACGTTTGTATATCATGTACCGAACTTTCTAAAAAAATATTTTAAAAACTTGTAATTAAAATTTATCAAAAATACCGCTGATATAAGCAATTCGGTTAATCCCAATAAATAAAGTTCGAAAAGTGGCGTTTTAAAAAATGTTATTATTAACTAAATAAGCATTCCAGTAAACTTTAGTGACACTGTAGAGCCAAGGTTGAGCATATATATATATATATATATATATAAACGTTTTTTCGCAGACGGAAAGTGCAACGACATCTGTGACGGTAGCTTCGCGAAACTATTAAGAACACAAATGATTCGTAAAAACCATTACGTTTGAGCTGTAGATCGAGCTCGGTACCTCACGTTTGTAAGCTTATACGCTACCTTATCACCGTTGCAATAGAAAAGGTTATTTTAAAAAACTAACGAACGAATCTTTCATCTTAAAACGTGATTATTCTACGCAGCGTATTTATGCCGTTTACGAGACAGAATAAAAACAGGATCAGAAGTTTTTGCTCTAACCCACGACTTTTTTTTGCATTTCTCTGCCTATTACGAAGAAAACGCTGCTTATAGATTCGTCCTTGGGATCAAACCAAACCTCTTAAGAACTTAGAGACCCATGACGACCCACGTTGACTTTGCACGATCAGAGGTCAATCCGGCCACATCTTGCAAGTACTGTCGTCTCTTCCGCACTAATCCAATCCACAGGAACGTCTCATCATCGTTGGTAAGCAGGGCACGTTTGAAACCCGCTTCTGTTCAGTGAGCAGGGCCGCATGTTCGTGGCAAGACTGAAGAAACCTTACCTTGGCAGAGCAAGCACTTATAATATTCCTCCATTCGTGTCAAGGAGACAGTAAAAAAGGAAAGCAGCGACCCACAATAAGCAAAGGCAATGGAACGATAACAAACCGTGCTGCCTTCCATTAAGGTAGCCAAACATTTCTGATGGATAAGCAGGTATTTTCTTGTTTAAGCTGTTCGAATAAAGAGTCGCTAGCGATTAGAAGATCATGAATAGAGAAAGATATTATCCCAAGATAGAGAAAAAGATACATTATGTGCCGCTGTATAAGCCTGAAACTGAATTGCTAGCAAATTGTCTTTTTCCGTAAAATTAAAGGGCCATATGCATTTTCGAATTTTATAATAGCCTTACTACATGCGGCCCGTATTTTGTAGCATATACTTACTCTAGCTTGAGTATGCTGAAGGTCGGCTATGGGAAAGAAATAGTATTATCTTCATTAAGGAACACTTCATTTTAAAGAAGTCCTTTTCGAGCCGAAAGCTAAGAATAAGGCATATGTTGTGATCACACACAGCTTTGGGCAAGCGAGGAGCAACAGTAGGTCATTTGATCAAGGCCTAACTGGGATACACAGTTTACGTACGATAAGCACGTATTATTAATACAAGGGCTCTTAAAGTACGTGTTCTGGACACATCCAGTCGAACACCGCTATTGGTTCAGGTAGGCGTCGCCAACTGAAAACGCCGTTCTGATCTTTTCAACGCCAACACTAATTAAACAGGGTATTCGAATGTGGTCATTCTAACGAATCGCGCAAATTTATTTCGTGCCGACGCTCGCCATTATGCGTTAATGAACATTCTCTCCTCGATGCGCCTACTACCGGCTGTCAGGACTAGAGCTGCAGGTCTAATGATGTCCTGTTGCCGATGCGGCCGATATTGTACATTTTGAAGCTGTGTCACACTTTTGACATACGTGATTGAGTACTACTTCAACGTGATCGAAATTTTACTAAAAGATCATATCGAACATTTAAAACTTAATAACAACGCTTATGTCCATAACAGAACAAACTGAGACGTTCATGTATGTTGTTTCTGGGGTTACCGTTGTACAGGGCTCTAAGTTGGCCTTATATTGCATAAGAAAATATGACTCATTCACTATTACGGAGGCTTGAGTGGCCTTAGCATAAAGGCCATTCTCAGGATCTTCTTGGCCGTTCCTAGCACGCAGATGTGCGCTATCGCATTACGAAACCTAAACGCATTACGCCAGAACCGGGGGCAGCGGCGGCAGCAGTCAGTAATTAAAGCATTTTTGCATTCGCGCTATTTGTCTCTTAAGAAGAACTAATATCTAAAGCTGAGCGCACCACGTCAAGGACATTCAGCTTTCCCTTTTCGCGTCTCGTACTCTCGCTCTGCGAATCCAAACGAAGTCATTTACTAAGACCTCCTGTTGGTTAAAAACTGGCAAATCTGTTAATTGTTCTGAAAAGCTGCGTTGCTACAGTCTGAGCAGTAGAGTCTGCAAATACGTGGATAATTTCTTAGATTCACTCTTGCAGTCTTAACGGATTTCTGATGGCCTATGAAGGTTTTTGTGAGCAGAAACCGCTGCCTGAAGGCGGTGCCAATCGTTTTTTTTGGCAGTAAAGCCGCTTATAGTGAATGACTGAAAGCATAGTCTTGTAGTTTTCAGTAACGTGCCTTGTTTTTCAACCTCATTGTTATTTTGGCTATTCAAATGAAGTTTGGTGTGAGGCATATGTGGCTTTTGGTGTATTATAAGGTAAATGTATACAGCTAATGCGTGTCCAAAGTTACTCCGTAACTTCTCGGCATGAACCTTGATCCATCACTAACGGGTTGGTTTTTTGGCAGAGGAATTGGTTATTAGAACCTGTCTGACATAACCTCCTGAACCAATTGGAATCATACCTTTAATAAGATGCCTGTTACGATCATTTATGGGTCAGACTAGCACATTATTATCATTATTCTTACAGCACATTGGGGGCAGTACCCCGAGCTAAATCTGTTTAAATATAGACGAAATAACAAAAATTACTATTATTATTATTATTATTATGCTCGCCTAGACAAATTTTGCAAAAAAAATTACCCGACCTTACATTGATCTTAAATTATACTAGAGTTGTGGCTTATTCGTTTAAATTAGTTGTTTCAGTAATAATCAATCGATGTTTCTCACATATGATCCAAGGTTCAAGCTGCTCTCTTAAGAGGATCCTCTTATCCTGCAAGGTAAAGTACTGAAACTTTTTATCAGTATCCCTCTGAACTAACTACCCTATTCATCCTGACTGCAAGCAACATACCGTATAACATCTAATCATAGATGCAGACATAGGCAATTGTAACGACTTAAAATGAAGCCTTCAAATTGGAATTACATTGCAGATCCTTGCTAGCCATATGCTGCAGTTGTCCTGCAATAACATGGCTTGCTTTTCATCTCTGGAAAAAACGTGACGCATAAGCTTTTCTGGGTTTATTTTTGAAATGAGAAATTGTTGTCGTCCTCAGTGCAGCCGTCTCAAGTCCTGATTGTGAGGTCGAGCGGTTTCTCATTTTGTAGGCTGGCAGACTGATTTTTTTTAAGCTTAGATTTGAATTTGGCCACGCATTGCTGTTATTGAGCTTAAACACATTTGGAGCAAAACGACAAAAATTAAACGTTATCATATTAAACCTAACGGTGTTTATTTAAACGATAGATATTGTTTATGATTTTATTAGGCAGCTTTTGCTGGTCATATAAAATACGCAAGTCGTTTTATGCAGATGTCCTGTGTTCATTGTAAATATTTAAGCCTTGACACATTTCGTACTTTCTACGTTAAAAATGAAGATCTGCAAATAAAAGCTGTATTTCTTGTCTTCGTCTATATCGATCCGTACTCAATTTGGCGAAAATTCAGGGTAAGAATAAGATTCACTTATTGTTAGACTTTCGAATAACGATGACTGTTTTGTTTGTAACACAAATTTCTACACTTCCCTTCGCTAAGCCCCGGCCTGAATCGTTCCATATCTTCCGTCTTATCATTATTATTATTATTATTACATTACAGCTGTAAAGCTCATTCTTATCGCTATGCAACCTCGCGGGTTTGGGAATTTGAAAATATCCCTTTTTTCAGGCCCACCTTAGACTTACAAACGTTTTATAAATCTTTAGTCACCTTGTTTCATAGTCTCATTATGTAATTTTATGCTGCATATCCATACAATAACACCTTTAGACCAAGATATGGGTTATACTTACAAATTGATCTCTTCAAAAATTATACGCTCCTGGTGCTTTCATCAAGGGACTTTGAATCATACCTCAAATTGAGCCAGTTCTTCTGAATGAGTTGACTCAGACTCCCTTCTCTAAATCTATACGTATATACTCCTGGGGTAAACCTTCATTTAATCGCTAATAGTGATGCCTTTACGGCCACGACTATACGCATTGATGGAGATCTTTTAACAGACTTACAAACATCAAAAAAACTTCCTGGCTTACTTCTTTATTCAACCAAACGATAATCCGGAATCGCTGCGGTGGCTATTTTTTTTTTTATTTGCCGCCTTAGTCCCCATCAGCTCTTTTTCCAGGCGACAAATTCCTGTTTATCGCTGCGGCTGTGATCAGCGACGAGTATTAGGTTCACACGTTTCTGGCCTCGAACATTTTTTGACGTTGAAAGTTTTCGAATTTGTTCGGACGTCCCGTGCTCACTCGCGGGCAATTCAGTGGGGTAGAACAGCCGGAGGTGGGGTCACATATTCATCTATACACCGGATCAATCTAAGCGCTTGTCGTAGGGTGGCAAAATACTTCGACACGTACATCCTGCGCTTTTTATTGTGCACTTCTAGGCAGCAAAGATCATGGGAAAATCACCGGAAGTTTACTACACAGACTGGTCTAGCGCTATCAATCGTAAGGTAATTTTGACATCGAGATGTCATTTTCAGTTAAGGGCCAGCTGTTTCGCCTTGGAGAAACTAAAAAAACACTGGCGGCCAACCAGCGAAAGGATACCCGCTTCAGCTATCGCTTCGGTTGTCGAATGCAAACCGCACTGCAGAAATATCGCTCAAATTAGACAATCGCCTGCTTCGCCTGTTTATTGGTAAGACAGGCTGCGGTAGACAGGCTCAAAGGCCTACTAAATCGATACTGAACTTGATAATATTATAAAATAATGGTCTAGAAGGAGGCCTTCGACGACAGTTAAGCTTATTAAGGAGTATACGTTGCATGCGAACATGTATAGATGAAGAAGTGAGTTAGGGACGAATTGATACTGGTAAAGGGAACCTTTTCGGTGAAAGACCAAGTTAAAAGGGTTGGAGATGGTGGTTAAAAACGGCCGGAACTAGGCTATGGGTCAAGTCAATTTAATTGAAAGGTTAGAGGTGCTGACAAAAACTTGATTAACATATAATCATTCTTTAGAGGTGTGTATATATATATTGCGAATAATAATTCATCTTTTGTTAATGTCAGGTGATGTACGGTGCACGTCAGCGGTAAGCTGGATCAGCGGGCCCTGATTTTTTTTAGGCAAAAGCTTAGGCGCTCAAGTTGGCAGGTCTACATAGTATAAAGAGCACGTTTTCTTTTTTTAATAGAAATGCCCGTTTGAAATGAGAAAGACGTTTACTGTTCTTTTCAGCTAGTTTTTTTTTTATCCATTTCAGTAAAACAACCCATATCTCTCTCGGTAATTATTTTGATGCATTATAGAAGCAACTTTAAGCTTACAAGGTTAAGACAAATCAGTATCACTATGAATAGCTGCTACAGTTCCCCGTTATCGTAGCTAAAAGAATAATTCTAGTCGAACATCGCCCTATCTGAAGCTAGGATTACCGGGGTTTCTAAAGTATGGAATATTACTATATATATTCTAAAATTATCTATAAAGGTTCATGTACCTCGCTGTGCAGTCACAAAAATTATTATGGTTTGTATGATGTCTTCTATTAAGGTCCATCAATCAGAATACTGCTACCAATTTCATGATTCATGGTGTCAAAAATTCCACGTAGTCCTAAAAAGGTTTCGCTACCCTCAACAGAGACTATATTGCACAACCTCACGAGGGTTTGTGTGTGAAAATACTTTCATGACCTCAAGTTCAACTTTTTTTAACGAACTCGAAAAGTGCAACTCATCAGATTACGTTTCATTTAGGACGCTTCACTTTGCACGACTCGGTTTTTACGTTCAGTGAACGAGTTCATCAGATCTAACCATCTAAATGTGAAAGAAATTAGGTGGAAAAACTTGTAAACATTTTTATTGTAACTGAAAATGCTAGGTGCGGGTCTTCTTGTGTTATTTTTTCGTGTATATATATATACCTTGTATATTTTTAAGTGTGTCAAGATTGAATTTTCATAGATAAACGAGAAGTGTGTACTCTATTATACCAACTGAGGTTTTGTGGTAACTTTGACTGGCTTTACAGATACCCGTTACATGTAGTTGCGATCGTGAATCCATAAACTAGCGTTTGTCAGCAGAAAAGACGGTCCCTGCTAATTCTCTTCAGCAATACTAGACCCCTAAATGTAATGCAAACATTATAGGTTTACCGGGCCGCTTCTAATTACGTGGGCTCCAATGAATAACAACAAATCTTTTTTGGTCCGCATTCAAATGAAGAATTCTAGATAACCACATTAAACCCGCGAAATGATCGTACTAACGAAATAGCTATGTTCGCGAACTCTTCATGGTTTTATTGTTGCGCTAAATTCTTTCAAAGGAAGCATCCGTATCCGTTTCATGGGTTGGGTTCCCGGACCTTCGATGACGAGGTTGACTTTGTTGGTAGCCAAAGAAACAATTGCTAAATGGCATAATAATGTCAACTGGCCTTTATTTCCACTTGTCTATATGAGTTAAAATCTAGTACCGATACTAATTGTTAACGCCTGGCAATCTGCGACAATCTAAATAATCATAATTATTATGATTATCACCTTATCTCAATTTAATCTATCAGTAGGCATCCATGTTACATTTTTCCAGGGTGCCCAAAATCTACTCTTCTCGTAGTCGTTGAGATTGCCGTCGAGAGTTACGACGAGCAGATGTTGTTCTATTTGAGGCCTGTGCGGCTAACTCGCACTATGGCTTTGGATTGCTAATAACCCAAGTGGTATATGGCGAGTGTACCAAAAAACGGGTAAGGCCAAGCCATCCCGAAAAGCTGTAAGGCCTTAGAATCGATCAAGTAGGCCATGGTCTGCCCAACTGCCAATGCCATTTCCGTTATCTTGGCGATCTACACCGAAGAAAAAAGGTGAATGAAGTAAACGTCAACGATGGCTTTATGTAAGTGCAGGCTCCTAAAAGTAGTTACTTATCAAGTACTGTTATCGGACTTCTTTTCCGATTCCAAAAATCTTCAGGTTGTTAGTGATAATGCAGCTAACATTTGTATCTTATCTTAGTTATACGATGATATGCTATTTCCTCATATCGTAATAGAGCTTTTTGGTTTTCTGTGTGTGTGTGTGGAACAAATGTGGAAAATTGATTGAAAAAGCAAATATAATTAAGATAGATTTATTAGAAAAAAAAGAAGTTTAAGCATTATTTGGTTAGATTTTCTGATCATTCTATTGCATTTAACGGTAACTATTACGCGACGAGGGAAAGCACTGCTAGCGCCGACGGCCGTAGCAATTTGATGCGGCCTATTTGAATTACCGCAAATTATTCGATTGCTAGGTAAAACAGTTAATGATTTTGTCCCTATTATTTAAAGTTGTTGCAGTATTCTGTAACAGCGTAAGGTTAACTGCCTTGCATTAGGCAGTGGGTTCTTTGCCCAAATTATATAACATTAGCATTGCACGATACATTCGTGTGTGCTTTACTTTATTCGATCGCTTTATCTTTCCTAGAAAATTTATCATAAATACGTCGTAAAGGGGTAAGATCTTTCTAACTAGAAAAAGTGCTCAAACACGAATGTAGTACGTTAGCGTTCATATGATAAAGTCTCGTCTAAATGAAGGCACGTTTTCTATTTCAAGTTAGAAAAACTCAAGGAAAAAGATTACAAGAAGAGGAGGCAACTTTCATCGCGTTTTGATGATACTTACTTAAAAATTGAACGTGATCCCAAGATTTTGTATACGCTTAGGTTTCCGAGCTTGGTTCGATGCTACGTAAATTACATAATCAGCTTTCACCTTAAGGGTAACACACTTTTCAACTGGAAATGTCATATTGTTACGGATGCGCCACGTGAAACACAATTTGTGGCCCCTTGTATGGAAATATTGTCCACTAGGGCGAAAATCATTGGAGTGTGGGCACCAGGCTGTATATTCTGAGATCGCCTGTGTACATTTTATGTAAGATCTTGTAATCACTCAAGTAAGCTTAGAGATTTTGGCAAGGATAGTGTATACATACAGGCGAGAGCCCGAAAAGTCAGGACTCACGCTCAGAGAGACAATCACTCGCATTAAGTACGAACGGCCCGTCAGATGAATAGGCCCAGCATTAATTATCCTGCCGTTTATTCTAATGTACTGACTAGTAAAGCCAAGAGGTACCCATTTGTAATACGTCTTTAGCACGCGTTTGATTCCAGGCACGCAAGTCAATGGTCTAGTTAAAGGCCAGTTTTTTTTTTTCTATACAGGTCTTTTGTTTCCCTTAACAAAAAGTCAAACCCAGCTGCAGCTCATTCAGTCCCGTCTTCACACTGCATCAATTTGGAAACTATTCGAAATATATAATTGATTTTGTCCAATTTCGAAACAAGACAATAATTAATATACAACTCCTGTAGACCAATGAGATCATTGGCAATGGACCTCACGATTCAAACACGTAGAGCGTGGTACAGTCTACAGTGGTACGAAGACTATACTATGTACTGCGTTATAGAAGTCATGCTCTGTCAACTGTTTTACTACGGGCAAGCAAAGCCATCGAAAATATTCTTTGTCAAATGATATTAAACATCAACAACACAGAGTTACAAATACTAATTTCATTGCTTTCGACCCCATCTCACTGAACACACCTCAATGTCTCCTCATACCGTTCGTTCAATGATGACACTTCGAAGCTCCGACCTCACCCACCAGCTTCGTGTTTAGCCTAACAGCACTCGACCGATTCCTCGTCTGGATCGCCTAACCACTGATCAACTCTTCGATCTAGACCAGAGTTGGCTTATGACATAGCCTGAACAGTATCCGTCTGTGTGTCGTTGACAGGCTCCCGCTGGCATTAATACGAGCGGGAAAGCGGGCCCATTTATGTTTTACGACGTTTCCTTTCTTATCCACAAAAGAGCATTCTGTCCAAACCAAGGCCAGCATAAAGGATTGAACACTCTCTGCCAACCTGTGTGGAGCAAATTGGAGGGGTCACGCATATGATTTCATGCAGATGAACGTATCTTGCCAACAGAGGCCAGACTAGACCAAATTTATTTGGGGGTAGCTGAGCCACTCGACTCTGGTGGACGAGCGCTGGTCGTACGAATACACACATTCACCAGCTACATTTTAACGTCCTTCGCGCGTGTATCGATATAAATTATTCGTTATAATGAAAGTATGTATAGGCAAGAGTGGCATAGATGATTTAAATTTGTGCCTTGCTATCAACCTTGTGTGGGAAATACGCGTTTCGCACGTATATCCAGATTCGAGCAAGTTACTTACGCTGAACTGACCTATCGTACCGGATCCGTTACTGCCGCATCCATTAGATGGAACTCCATATCTCTACCATGCATCGTAGAGTAACACTGTTCGGTGATGTCTGAAAAGTGTTTATTGGAAGTAACACTGTCGTGCACCCATTACAGATGAAAATGGGCGTAGCGTCGTGTATAAACCTGGTCCTCGAGGCTTTCATTTAGTTCTCTGCTGTCTTGTCTTATAAAACCGTGTAACCCAGCGTTAGGTTTTAATACGATCAACTTGTCCAATAGGGGAATTGTTGGAGCCATGCGGTAATAATCAATAACGATGTAACTTATTTTAAGTCATTTTAACTCACTCATCTCATAGCGGCAATGCTGTGTTCTTATGGAACGCTTGTTAACTGCTACAGGCGCCTGGCTGTATTTGTTGATAATTGCTATATTTGTGCATTTTTCATTTGTTTCTATAATGGCTAATGTATACACGGGACTTTTTATTTACCAGAAGAAAAGAGACCTCTTTTATGTCGCAAGTTTTTTTTTCTAAATATTCTATTTCTAAATATTCAAAGCAAGTTACCGAAATAGCGAACTCTTTCCATTAGGGTACGGGGATAGTTGGCGTCGTTGTTCACTAGGTTAAGTTTGCCATTAATACAATCAACCCAGCACTTTACAATCTACAACTTACGTCCTATTATTTATCTATTGAGATAATATGTTGCATTTATTAACTAATGACAATGTACTATAATATGCAGGCCCGCTGAAGCTTCCATTTGCAGCTGCCGCTCATTTCATCATTAGTAAACGAGTCGTACCACTTTGGATAGCTGCCGGCGAAGAGCTTCACTTTATATAGGTTCGCAAAAACCCTTCTAGCGGATGTTCTCGCTCTTTATCGATAACACACGTACAAACATTTACCGTTCCTGTTTCCTGCTACATGATACGTCTCACGTAAAAACACATTTTTCTAATCATCAGTTACCAGCTTGTCTTTCTTCTCGTGTTTTAATTCCTTTATCGGTATATCTCATAACACTGGTTTCCAGATATGCTGCAATTTGCCCACTTGCGCTCTTTGTATCTATAAAAAAAAAAACGCTATGAGTATAGAAAAATATAAATGTTAAGAAACAACAACAGCTGATTAGATCCAGAGTGACTTTTCGGGAATTTCAAACGACTCCGATAAAATAACGACAGATCCTCGATCAATTGGCTGTAGAGATCAAGAGATCTCTACAGACGACTTCAGAAATAGCAAAGCGTATACGCTGTGTCCGAAAAATTAAGCATAAATTTAATGAACATGGCTTACAAGCGTGCATCGACCAAGAACTACTTGGCCTGCTACCGAGTCGATCATAATTTCGATTCCCGGCGTTGTAATAAGCTGGTAGCCTCGATAGCGATTTAGGAAACCAATTGGGAAAATTGTTGATGTACAAGATATGTGCCTATCTAGTTATAGAAGCATGTCAATTTAAAATTCAATGCGCCCTTTGAGACTCTAGTTAAGAGCAGAGCTGTTACAAAAATGTCGTGTAGTTCATGATATAACTTACGGTCACCACTGCCACAATCGGCTCGTTACGACGCCAAGGAATAACGTCCATAAATAATATGATTACTTATCTCTTCATCATACAGTTCAATAAGATAATGTATTGTTCATCTTTTCAGCTTTGCGACGCTAATTAGACAAGTCGTGGCTTTAAGAAAAAAGTATCGCTTGCTCCCGAATTGATCTGCCCCCCCCCGCTCTGCAGTTAATCTACGTATTCTGATGCATTTGAACTAGCTTTTCCTATAATTAGTCGCAGTAAAATAGGCATTCAAGTAAAGGTTTAGCGATAATGATGTTTCGGAAGTACAAAACTTCAGGCACTATTGGACCGAAGTAAACGGGAATTTATCGACTAGAGACTATGCACATAACTTCAACTCGCCTGCGCATCACGGAAAGGATCGAGAACATAGAATTGTTATTGGGTATAAATCTAAACACTGATATGATACTATACCTTACGCGTATTCAATTGCTATTTTCGATTAGTAGTATACTACTACTACTTCAATTTTAGCTCAGCGCAAGGCTAGGTATACACGGAGGGTTGTTCCGGATGTTTGGCAAAATAGGAAAAAAAAAGTGTCCTAGTGTTGAGTTTGCAAAATGCCAACCGAAAAAAATTAGCGCAAAATTCTGTGGATATCAACTGGGTAAACTAAGCAGCTAAGTTGATAAATGAATGATCCTTGAATTGTCGTTAAAATGTCCAAGTGATTTTGCCATAGGACAAAACTCGGTCCTGACTAGCTTTCAAGGGGCTAAAAGCCACCTTCCACCTGAACTGGAAACTTTTTTCTTTGTGCTTTCCCGTCAAACCTTAGAACTATTTAGATTTGAAATGTTGTTATTCATTATCTAGATTGATACAAGATCTATAGATTAAAGTTTTTGACTATTTTGATTTAGTGAGCCGCGATTCTTACCGGAATGAAAGTCGCCCGTTCCCTGAAGGAAACTAGGAAGTCGAATGATCTCAACTCAAAGTCTCAACTCAAAGAAATCGTCTCAACAGAGACGATTTCTTCAAGGTTTACCATAGAAAATCTTCTGTCTATCGCTAACCTATTGCCCCAAAAGCAATGGTATCGATCAAACAAATTGAGTCTTTACAAATTGAGGCACCAGTTAGCGTTTCTAATTGTGATTCAATATTGCAATGGCCGCGTTATCTACTTGGCTCTACTCTTTAGGGTCACATTAAAGCTCATGCTGCAAATGGATGAGACAATTTTCGTTTTTGGCTGACCGTTTCGCCTCGAACCCCCCACCATAAACCAATCCACTTCGGGATTATAACGTTGCCATCGCGCCAAACCGCCTATTCAGCTGATTAATATGACCTTTATTTGTTACCCAGGTTACGCAAGACACTATCAAATTATACGCTTTGATAGTATTTAAGATCGTTCGACGATATCTATGTGATTCCGTTTCGCCAATTTTACGTACAGCCTGAAGCGTAACACTAGATAAATAAACTATAATTACTTAGTGGACATTCCTTTTTATTATTATAGTATTGGTAATATTATATACTGAATTGTACCGTACGATTACGGTTAGGTTGTTGGAGTCGCTTTTCAGTGATATTTAGTTTTTTTATTATATCAATTTTAATATTATTTTTATTTGTAAATTACACCATTTGAATTATATCGACGTCAATGTGTTGTCGCGTTTCGTTTTGTCGTTTGTTGCAGTCCATGTTTTCTTCACACTGACGGCTAGTTACACTCAATATGTTATATGAAGAAAAACGTCCTATCGAAGCATAACGAACTGCTCGTATCATCGCACCTTTTTTAATTATCTCTTGGGGTAACTCCCAGGGAACCCTTGATCTGCTTGACGCGTTACGTCGAACGTGTATGTTAGCTAAAAACTGGGCCGAGATGATCAAGAAATAGCGTTATTGATTGTACTGCAAAAATACTGGTACAAAGTAAAAACAAAAAAAGATATGCTGTGAAGACAATGGCTGCAATTTAGTAAATTGTAGAGTATATATGCAAGCACAGTGGGACGCGGACCCATCGAATTGATCGACCATTTTTATACCTATGAGCCTCGATGCGAGACAGAGTGTTGGGGCTGTATTGTAACGCTTGTAGCATGCGTTTACCAATTGTTATTGATCCTCATTGAATAGAGCTGACTAACTTGTTTAAGGCACATACGAAGTTGGTCTTTGGTGTGCCTTAAGAATAAATAAACATTTTTAAGTATTGCCCGATTGATTGATCGTTTGATTTTTTCCACTGTCCTATTCTTAAGTATGTCATCTCGTACGATCCTCGGGATTTCCTTCCATTAATCCGATCAGTATTTGGAACCCTCTGAATTCGCTATACGATGACATGAATCACGTTTGTTGCCTATGTTTGACTGTTCATCTGAGTGAAGAATCCGGTCGTCGAATTCCGGTCGGAATGACTAACATATTGTGAACGTAGAAATAGTATTTGTTGTTATTAGAGTAGGGAATTCTTCAAAAAAAAAAAAAAAAGATGGTACCAAATATTAAAATGCAAATTCGAAACAGTAACGTAATATAACAATCTAATGGTGGTATAAGTATAATAAAATAAATAAATATAATATACTATTATTATATCTTACGATTATATATAGTATATTATTGCATTACAATGAAAATCAGATATATATGCCTTCAAGTCTCTCTCCATTTGTAGAGTTCCTGCGTAGCGTTTCTTTAGGAGGGCGTTTAGTAACCCATTGTGTGTAAAAAAGTAGCCGTTGTTGGTCATCTTCAACGGATAGAGAGCAGTGATTATGTTCTCCTTTACAACCAGCGAACTGGACGTACGACACTTGCTATTGACCAAAGGACCCGGCCGTTTTCGACAGGTGTTATACTCTATAGACGAGAACATTTTCATCCACGTATTTAGGCCGGCAAAAATCAATTGTCACTAATCGGTCTACTCAAAAAGCCAATAGTTAAAGAGAGACGTCACTCGAGAGACATTTTACGCTTGAAGGGCATCAGCTCTCTGATTTCAACCCTGTAGTGAACGAAGTCACGGAACAAATTAAGTAGTTGCGTTGTTACTTGATTGTTAGTTGTTTTTTTTTTGCTCGGATCGATCGTCTAATCGGCTCCTGCCTGCTTAGGGCCATTCAGGCAAAGTAAAAGGAAAATCAGTGAACGTCAGTTACCACTGGATGCGCGCGAATGTACTAATGCTCACTTCAAATATCCGAATTTATTTTTCGATGAAACCTTCAGTGTACTTATATATCGGTGAAACCTATGAAGATCACATGGTTCGCGTGAGCCTTCGGCGCACAAATAGATTATAGACAGATTGCAGAGTGCATCGGTTTAGATAACATGTCAGTTTGATTTTTCTGACGTAGCAAAGTGTATAGGAAAGCCCTGTCCATCCGTTGGCTTCCAGCTAGTAATAGTTTGGAGACGTTTCGAGTGTTACGTCGTTTTCGGATTTCTTTAGTTAAACATTGCCTCGAATGACGTTATCTACGCCCCCACTCGGATCTGGATTACTTCACGTATCACGTAGGCAAATACGTTATCATCGCACCGTCACAGAAGCAATAGTTTAAAGCACTATTTAAATTGTGGTGGCGTGTGAGAGGCCAAGGTCTATTTTCTTCAACTGCAACGTTCCGATAAGTTATTCAACTCATTCCCTAAAAAGTCCGTTTTCAAACCAGGTTTAGGAACGAACCCACGATTCAATCGGTTTATCTAATACTTGTCGGATGCAACTGACGGTTCACTATTAGGTCTCAATGTAAGATGTAAAAAATAAAATATATTAATAAATAAAATAGTCTTTCATGACATGGGTAGATTCAAAATGGGGCTGTCTTTATTAACACTGTGGCATTGGCTGGTTTTGCTCGAGAACACTACATAAAGCGAGGAAAACATGCTTTTTTTCTAATCCTTTCTACGGTCCATCAAAATTACGACAATAGAAGAGTGCTGAGTCTCGCCTACCGAACGCGGCCCTCTCCAGAGATCCAACCCCACTTTTTTCAAGTTTAAAAACCACTTTGTAGCACTAGTAGTTCTTCGATTTTTTACGATCGTACACAGATGACACGTCTTTACTGTTGCTCTATTGAGACCTGACCCTATCGGATAATTCAGCCTTACCATTTCCAGTTTTATTAAACTGATGCTACTTTTGTAAATATTGACTGCAATCTGCTTTGCAGCTAACTCATTGAAGATATACCGTGAAAAGACAATGGTAATGGTTTCCTGAATGCTGCATGTGTCAACGGAAGTACCCAAATGGGTTTCTCTTGAGAATCATCCCATTAGGTGCTCAAAAGGCTCACAAATGATCAGTTGCATGTTGCACTCTAAAATCGGAGTGAACGATATTTGACAGATTTTTTCATCATGATAACAATACGAAACAATGTTCTTGCAGAGTCTTGAGAAAAGTCTTGCAGAACCCAACCTTATTTGAAACTCTATATATATATATATAATCTCTAATGTGTTGTCATAGGTAGGGAAAGGTTAAACGTTAATGCAATGCATTTTGTTGCAAAAAGCGTTTTAAATAGTAGTAAATAAATAGTTTACCTTGTTGTCAGTTTTCATGCATTTTGAAAAAATCCATAAAAAATTTCGATTAGTCAAGCCAGAAATTTGCTTTCGAAATTTTAACATTCCCCCTTTAAACTTTAAACAGCCCCCCCTAGCGGTGGACTCTGGATGAATAGTCGATCGATCGAAGTCGAATAATCGAAGCAATCACATGACGTATTAGATACTGAACCATCAACCACTTCAATAGTTATAGAACCCTACTTCAATTCGTCGAACTTCCAATAATCAGAATCACTGAGTTAAGTTGAGCAACAGGTAGTTAGCGGGCCTACACCGAGATTTATTATTACGATTTTTATCCAACGATTATTATCCAATAGGCATGTAATTGCGACGATTTTCTCTCTCTCTCTCGTAAAAGAAAATAATTAGATGATTTTTGCTCGGATCGTCTTTTTTTTTGTTTCAGAATTTTCAAAGTTGTGTGAACTTAAGGGAGACCTTTTAATCATTGGTGAGGTCGTTCTGCGGTGTTGAGACCAATAAGAACATAGCTTACGTTGACAACATCTGAAAGCTAGCACCCACTTTGTTTTCAGCGAACGGCAAATATTTTACTGGACCAATCAAATCTAAATTCTAGCTCTAAATCTGTACAAGCCGCACATAAGGATGATCGAGATGGGTATCGAATCTATTATACGAAACTTTGAACTCTGCCATCTGATTTGAGCCACATCAGTCTGGCAACATATAGCCCCTTGTCGAACATGTTTGTATCTTCACTGTATTGTACACTGCACATTGTTCATTTATGTGATGATAATACACTGTACAAGTCTTCATTGTTCTTTTGCAATAGCATAGATTACTATCTTCGTGCCGAATGCAAAATCTG